AATCATGCTGAATTTACAAGGTTATGTATTTATACAATAATGTTTTATGTAATCACTGGTTACTGTATACATATTCAAGAGAAATGCATAACCTCAGTTGTTTAATCAATCTAAAGTTTTTAGTCTGTCATTATAAGTCTTCCATAAATTCTATTTTAATTTGTTTCAGGACTCTGTTACACAAAATCCAACTGAGTATGACCGTGAATCCTATATGAAAGCTAAAAAAAGATTCCTTTTTAACTATTTTTAAAAGTAATATTGAACTTTACACATACTTTACACGTACTTAACATCTTAACACATGTGTATCGGTAAGATATTAATGTCATCACAAACCATCAGACACATCAACTTGGGGTGATAAGATGGACTTATCGAATATTTGTTTGTTTCTTATTTCAATAAATTGATCAAATCTTAGTAAAATAAACCTATAAAGACCAAATTGTTTTTATGTTAGTAAATTAAAACATTATAGTGATATAGTGGAAAATAAATGTTACATTTAAACAGCATGGTTAATAACACCCTTTTTAAGTAAAGTAAATCTGTTGTAAAGGTTCTGCGAGACATTTGTAGCACCTTGTATAAGAAACACTTTTTGTTGCAAACAACCTTATGACAACTAATTTTCAGTCTAATATAGCTAATTCATTAAGAAAAGGGATCAGAGGATTATTTGACTGCTTCTAATACTTGCTTTAGTGCATCATGTTTTTAGGTTTGAAAGATCTAAAAATCTACAAAACGGAGCTTATTTGTTAAAACAAAAGTTATATCATTGTTTAATCATGCTGCTTTTCATCATCTTGTAGAGATACCCTGTGATTCTAAAAGTTTTGGTAACACTTTACTTGAAGGGGTGTGCATAAGACTGACATGACACCTTCATAATCATGACATGACACATGTCATGAATATGAAGGAGGTTTTATGCATGTTTATGACAACTGTCATTAAGTGTCATTCGCTCAGTTATGTAATTTTTAATGCAAAGATAACATTGTTTGAGATGTCTTTGTTATGGGCTATGGTTAGGGGTAAGGGTAGGGGTAGGGTTAGGTCAAATAATGTCATATTTGCATTAAAAATGACATAACTGAGCGAATGACACTTAATGACAGTTGTCATAAACATGCATTAAAACCCTTAATATTCATGACATGTGTCATGTCATGATTATGTAGGTGTCATGTCATGATTATGAAGGTGTCATGTCAGTTTTATGCACACCCCTTCAAGTAAAGTGTAACCAAAGTTTTTATTTGTAAAAATGTTGTATGAGATGTAGGGATGTTTGTGTTTATGTTTGTCTGCGTGTTTGAGTGTGTTTGTGTTGAGTGTTTGTGTTTATGTTTGTCTGCGTGTTTGAGTGTGTTTGTGTTGAGTGTTTGTGTTTATGTTTGTCTGCGTGTTTGAGTGTGTTTGTGTTGAGTGTTTGTGTTTATGTTTGTCTGCGTGTTTGAGTGTGTTTGTGTTGAGTGTTTGTGTTTATGTTTGTCTGCGTGTTTGAGTGTGTTTGTGTTGAGTGTTTGTGTTTATGTTTGTCTGCGTGTTTGAGTGTGTTTGTGTTGAGTGTTTGTGTTTTGCGTGTATGTTTGTTTAAAACATAAATATCCCTATTTATTTCACTTTATTGTTATTGTCTTTTCTCTATCTATCTAAGAGTATCCTGAACCTCTGTGAAATCACATCCACCAGATCTACATTATTAACATTCCTGTTTTTCTTAGAAAAAATATTTTCTTCTTTGCCTAACCAGATGTTTGTCGTTAAAAAGGTTCAATAGGGTTCACACCCTTTGACCAGTCACCGAACGTTTGTCTAAACTTTTGACAAAGTTCACACTCACAGGTGCATATCATAAATAGATACAATGGAGATCCTTTGATCACTGAACTTTAGCTGAAACACAGCACCAATGTTCACAACGCCAGATCCCTCAAAACTCATTAAATTCCAAATGAGTTGCAAACCCAGAAACCGGCTTAGATGTTTTACAACTTTTGAAATACATTACACTGATATGGACGCGTCAGTAATCACACAATCCCAGACACCGTTCACAACGCCAGATCCCTCAAAAACTCATTAGATTCCAAATGAGTTGCAAACCCAGAAACAGGCTTAGATGTTTTACAACCTTTTGAAATACATTGCACTGATATGGACGCTTCAGTATTCACACAACCCAACACCCGGCGCCTTTCTCGTTTCGATACACTACGTGAGATGAAATATTTGTGTTGTAAAACCTTAGGCGTTTAATTACGTATGTCTGTTTTAATTGATAGATAACACACCACAAGTGTTACGGTAAGAAAATCAAAGAGACTCCCCAAAACATTAGCTTTCATTCCAGTTAGATATTTGTGCGAGCATTCGTGTGTGTTTTAACTATTATACCATACCGCAAGTTAAGCTTGACAAAAACCAAAGAGTAATAAAGGAATTACTAAATTAAGTGTGAATAACTAAAATAAAATAAAATAAAACAAACCAAACAACATTTTTCCTCTGGCTTAGAGGTGATTGTTTAGAAGAAAACTTGTATAGACTACCCTAATTTTAAAGTGAAGAGCTTTAGGATGAATGCTGAATTTCATCAATTAAAAAATGATATAGATTTATTAAAAACAACTCTTTTTAATTTAAAACATTATTTTGCTTAATTCTTTTTTTACCATACATTTAAATCTATCTTTGCACCGGTCTCTCCTCCGGCGTTAGGGGAGGGCTGTAGGTGTGGCCTAGCCTTACGCGTTCCTGAGCTCTTTCTGAGTTTTGACAGCAGCGTGTGAGGATGATCTGATGGAAACAACGTGAGATGAGAGGGTCTTTTTATTTTGTTTAACTTGTGACAAACTCGAACTAGTTTTAAATTGTAATGATAGACTACAACATAGATTTTGACAAGTATCTTATGCTGATGTTTTAACGAACGTATCTGGAAGGATACTTTTTGTTTAGATCATGGTGAGAAGTCAGCATTTTTTCTTTTCTTTTCTAAGAACCTCTGTGAAATCACATCCACCAGATCTACATTATTAACATTCCTGTTTTTCTTAGAAAAAATATTTTCTTCTTTGCCTAACCAGATGTTTGTCGTTAAAAAGGTTCAATAGGGTTCACACCCTTTGACCAGTCACCGAACGTTTGTCTAAACTTTTGACAAAGTTCACACTCACAGGTGCATATCATAAATAGATACAATGGAGATCCTTTGATCACTGAACTTTAGCTGAAACACAGCACCAATGTTCACAACGCCAGATCCCTCAAAACTCATTAAATTCCAAATGAGTTGCAAACCCAGAAACAGGCTTAGATGTTTTACAACCTTTTGAAATACATTGCACTGATATGGACGCTTCAGTATTCACACAACCCAACACCCGGCGCCTTTCTCGTTTCGATACACTACGTGAGATGAAATATTTGTGTTGTAAAACCTTAGGCGTTTAATTACGTATGTCTGTTTTAATTGATAGATAACACACCACAAGTGTTACGGTAAGAAAATCAAAGAGACTCCCCAAAACATTAGCTTTCATTCCAGTTAGATATTTGTGCGAGCATTCGTGTGTGTTTTAACTATTATACCATACCGCAAGTTAAGCTTGACAAAAACCAAAGAGTAATAAAGGAATTACTAAATTAAGTGTGAATAACTAAAATAAAATAAAATAAAACAAACCAAACAACATTTTTCCTCTGGCTTAGAGGTGATTGTTTAGAAGAAAACTTGTATAGACTACCCTAATTTTAAAGTGAAGAGCTTTAGGATGAATGCTGAATTTCATCAATTAAAAAATTATATAGATTTATTAAAAACAACTCTTTTTAATTTAAAACATTATTTTGCTTAATTCTTTTTTTACCATACATTTAAATCTATCTTTGCACCGGTCTCTCCTCCGGCGTTAGGGGAGGGCTGTAGGTGTGGCCTAGCCTTACGCGTTCCTGAGCTCTTTCTGAGTTTTGACAGCAGCGTGTGAGGATGATCTGATGGAAACAACGTGAGATGAGAGGGTCTTTTTATTTTGTTTAACTTGTGACAAACTCGAACTAGTTTTAAATTGTAATGATAGACTACAACATAGATTTTGACAAGTATCTTATGCTGATGTTTTAACGAACGTATCTGGAAGGATACTTTTTGTTTAGATCATGGTGAGAAGTCAGCATTTTTTCTTTTCTTTTCTAAATGGTAACAAACTCTAACTTTAAAATTGTAACTTCTGTATTTTTTTAACGAACGTATCTGATACTTTTTCGTTTGTTTTAGATAGATGGTCAGTGGGCTACTTTTAATTTTATTTTCTAACTTGTAACAAACTCTCAAACTTTTAAATTGTAATGTTACAAGATTTTTGACTGCCACTTACTGTTTAACGAACGTATCTGATACTTTTTTTTTCTTTTTTTGTTTAGATAGATGGTCAGTAGCCTAGTTTTCTTTTTATTTTCTAACTTGTAACAAACTCTAACTAGTTTTTAAATTAACAACACTTAAATATTCGTCTTGACCCGTTTTTTACTCTTTTCTGGAAAAAACTGTCATTACATTGTTTATATACCGCGTATGTTTGATGTTTTTCTTGAAATGTATGTGTGAAAACTTTCATAAAAACTTCCCTTATCCCGTTTAATAATCATACCACGTTTCACAATTTAAAGTTTAAAGCACATAGTTTTGAACAGTTTCAACTGACCCACACAAAAAACACATTCCCAAACAATCATAAATTCCTTCGGGTCATTGGGGTGGATAAACAGATGGTCACTTAGACGGGGGCGGGGGTGTACAGGAACAGGTGTCCAACAGGTGTCCACTTATGGGTGGGGGGTGGAATTTTTATGACCCTCATCAATCAAATTTGTTGTCACATAACACCCTATACTCTCTCTGGTAGGAGAGAAACTTTTTTTTCCATTTCTTTAACATGGACACTCTTATTGGCCTATATCCATTTGCTCTATTGCTTTGATCCCAGCACCTGCTACAGGCCTTGCACTTCCAGACTAGATTGTGGCTCCACAGGCTTTCCTCTGCTCCAGTACAAGCTCCTCACTCTTCCTCTGGGCATACCAGCACACCACAACTTGGCTCGTTTGTCAGCTTTCTCCGAATCAGGTGTTCTCCAAGACCACACATCCTTCACTATCCTGGAGCAAGGAGGGGAAAATGGAGAGAGGCCTTTTGGCATCAAGGACGAAGCAGGAAGAGGCATCATATTCACAGTAAAGCCTTTAGACTGGCCCGGCCTGGTGCGACTTCGGGTACAAGCCACTACGCTGTCAGACCAGGGGCGCATAACCTACCAGAGTATCTTTATTATCTACATCTCCATATCCAAATACCCCTACTGAGTGCGCAAGACTGCACAGGATGTACTGTTGCTTAATGGGACATGGGAGAAGCATTAGTAAATGAACTCGATTCCCACCTATTTATGTGCCCTCTTGTGGAGCGGAATGTTGGATTATTGAATTATCATCAGGATAATAAATACATTGCATCTTTTATAATTACTATTATTTGAAAATATTGTAGTAGCTTTCAAATCTTACCTGGGCTCTTTAGTTTTCACTGATTTGCTGTTATTTCTCCATTTTTGTGGTAATGAATCAGGATATATCTGGTATTAAAACAACTAAAATAATAGCAGAAGACATTTCCCACTGACATTTTGACCAGGCTTCAGTTTCAGCGTTATATGATCACCAACTAATTTCCTACATTAAAACTGATTACTGGTATGTTTAGATATATTTACTTATATGTTGTATTGATATATTCTTGTACATTATTGAGTGTACTCTTGTATGAGAATGAGTGTGTGCGTGTATGAATTATTGCGAGCGTGTTTGCAATGTTTGTGAATATTGTTATGGTTGTGCTCTCTCTGCTCATGACTCCTTGAAACTGAAATGTAGAATCTACATTGTAGATTATAAAAATTCTTTAAAGCACACCACAACTTGGCTCGTTTGTCAGCTTTCTCCGAATCAGGTGTTCTCCAAGACCACACATCCTTCACTATCCTGGAGCAAGGAGGGGAAAATGGAGAGAGGCCTTTTGGCATCAAGGACGAAGCAGGAAGAGGCATCATATTCACAGTAAAGCCTTTAGACTGGCCCGGCCTGGTGCGACTTCGGGTACAAGCCACTACGCTGTCAGACCAGGGGCGCATAACCTACCAGAGTATCTTTATTATCTACATCTCCATATCCAAATACCCCTACTGAGTGCGCAAGACTGCACAGGATGTACTGTTGCTTAATGGGACATGGGAGAAGCATTAGTAAATGAACTCGATTCCCACCTATTTATGTGCCCTCTTGTGGAGCGGAATGTTGGATTATTGAATTATCATCAGGATAATAAATACATTGCATCTTTTATAATTACTATTATTTGAAAATATTGTAGTAGCTTTCAAATCTTACCTGGGCTCTTTAGTTTTCACTGATTTGCTGTTATTTCTCCATTTTTGTGGTAATGAATCAGGATATATCTGGTATTAAAACAACAAAAATAATAGCAGAAGACATTTCCCACTGACATTTTGACCAGGCTTCAGTTTCAGCGTTATATGATCACCAACTAATTTCCTACATTAAAACTGATTACTGGTATGTTTAGATATATTTACTTATATGTTGTATTGATATATTCTTGTACATTATTGAGTGTACTCTCGTATGAGAATGAGTGTGTGTGTGTATGAATTATTGCGAGCGTGTTTGCAATGTTTGTGAATATTGTTATGGTTGTGCTCTCTCTGCTCATGACTCCTTGAAACTGAAATGTAGAATCTACATTGTAGATTATAAAAATTCTTTAAAAAGTATTTGTCAAGCAGACCCATCTTTTTGACATTAAACACCATTCCCTTTTAATCCTTGCAAGGAATATATGTCAGGATATGCATTCTAATGCATTGCTTTAGAATTTTAAAATGCTAAAGACCAGGAAACTTTTGGGTATCTTCAGCAGGCTTATTTATTGAGAGCGTGCTGTGTGGCTCTGCCCTCATCAAAAGTCTAAGGCGGGGGCACACCAAGCCGACTTCAAAGAACTAGTGGCGACGAAAGCCGACAGTGTTGTCACCTCACGTCGGCAGCATCGGACCAAGGCAGGCATACATTGTATTTTATAGGCATTCAGTGGGCAGTCCTTAAAGGTGTTTACCTTACACAGCCTCAGAAGTAACCACTCTAAGCTAAACATCTAAAGATAATATAGGTAATCATCCCCCAGCTGCGAGTTCCAGTAAACCTAGTCCCTAAACATAATAGGTTAAGGTAGGTTAAGTACCCATTTAATACCTTTGCAGGTGTGTATGAATATGAATCCGTGTCCTAATCCAGTATCTTCACTGTGCATGGTTGAGCTAAACTGATGAACATGAAATAATATGTATCAATAAAAATGCCTCTGTTTTGTGTATAGTAATTAAAACACAAATGTCACAGGTTTCATCTCAAGTAAAGGCAAACTCTCAGTTACTCTCCTAACTTATGACAGTTAAAATTATGTTCTAACAGATTTTGACAAAATACATTACAATTTAATCATTCTTCAGCAGATGCAAACACTAAATGAAAGTTTGCATATGCAAATTACAGTCCACAATGAGCTGGTGTGCATAATGAGCTAAAGGTAAAAAAATTCATAGGGAGAGATGAAACAACAGGATCCTCTATGATTCTGAGTGCCATATCAACTGCACTTCTGCGGTTGCAATACATTTGATTATATTTTGAATGTCATATGCAGTTTGCATAAACAAATATAGGCTATCAATAGGTTATGTTTCCAGTATTTCCCCAGTTTCTTTTTCCCTGTTTTTTTGTTTGACACTGAACTGTAGGGCATTTCAAAAAAGAGAAAAGGTCATCTTGCATAATGAACATATTCAGAAGGTCTTAAACCCATAAAAAACGAAACATTATGGTATTGACTAAATTATTTCATTTGATATGTACATTGAGAGTATCAAAAAATTGTTTTTTCATCAGATCCATACAGTATAACCAGGCATATTTTTGAATTAAAAATATTTACAAAATACTGTGATTTATGCATGAAATATTGGATGGACATTATTTGACAAATACCCATGCTTTCATATCTCAGTTGTTAGATTATTGTTTTTCTTATGTTTTAAAGAGCATTTTATTTGACAGTTGAAACATTGGGCCGCTGGCAACAACTCATATGCATTATTATTTGAATGACTGTTTTTCTTAAGTAAAAAAAAAATCAATATAGTTTTGAAAATACAGTTTTGGCTATATTTGCATTAATACTATACAAACATGTCAACTAGAAGCCTTCAGGAAACCAGAACGTTTCAAAGTCTGGTCAACGTTCTGTATCAGCTCTTGCTCAAAGTCCCAGACTCTTTTGTCTACAAAGAGTTGCTCTTTGGTAAGACGCCTCTGCAGTGGGACTCTCACATGTACAATCCTACATACATTAAACGGTACATGGAAACTGCCTCCAAAGTTTTTCAAAGGGGAGTGTACTGACGTTTGCTGCACCTTCCTTGGGTTGACAATCATCTTTGTGGGATTGTAAATGTTTTTTCGACTTGGTTCTCTGTAAATGTGCTCCATGATATTGACACCTGGGATATTATTCCATTCTGCTCGTTTGAACTTCCCACTCTCCTCAGACTGTGTTTTAGGGAATATGTGGTTCTCTATGAGGAACACCCCTACAAAGAGTTGCTCTTTGGTAAGATGCCCCTGCAGTGGGACTCTCACATGTACGATCCTACATACATTAAACGGTACAAGGAAACTGCCTCCAGTGTTTTTCAAAGATGAATGTACTGAAGTTTGCTGCACCTTCCTTGGGTTGACAATCATCTTTGTGGGATTGTAAATGTTTTTTCGACTTGGTTCTCTGTAAATGTGCTCCATGATATTGACACCTGGGATATTATTCCATTCTGCTCGTTTGAACTTCCCACTCTCCTCAGACTGTGTTTTAGGGAATATGTGGTTCTCTATGAGGAACACCCCTATATTGGGATGAGCAGACTGGAGGTCCTCCATTAGAGATGGTAAACTGGTGTGTTTGTAAGGCATGATGATTTCATCAATGTCATTCAGGAGAACATACTTTGACTGGTACATGTGCCTGTAAATGCACTCGTTGAGTGTTACTAACTGACCATAATACTGAATGTCTCCCTTGTGGTGCTTGATGTTCCAGCCTGATGCAGGGTTCAGAAACTGGTCGATAGGCCATGGAACGATCTCCAGTATCCCCTCTGTTTCATAATGTTTTAAGAGCTTTTTCAAGTCTGGTCCACAACCAGTTTTATAGATGACCACATGCTGTACTCCCAAAAGCTTGTACATCTCCATCGTTTGAGCAAACTGCAGTACATTGTTGTAGTCGCCAAAAAGGTTAGAGATGCAAACGGTGAAGTTAAATATGAAAGTCTCTTGTACAGCCTTATTTTTTATTGGCAGATATTCCATTTTGAGGTCAGCTGAATCTTTCTTGTCAGTTATGAGGACACGAGTTGCATTTTGCATGTGTTTACCTCTACAAATCACATCTGAGGCACCATACGGGAAGCTAAAATGGTCGCTGTGTATCTGGACCTCAGTGTGAACAGTATTGCAGACTTGTTCAGCGCTGCAGTGAACACAGTAAAGTGGCTGAAGACGGTTTCTGTTGATTATGCTGATGACTCGAATGACCCCATCCAGTCTGTGGTCGATAAACGCAGACACCATGAAATGCTCAGTGTCTTTGATGGGTGTTATTAAATATGAAGCCTCCGGGATTTTGAATTTATTATTTGATGGAGGAGATTTTATTGTTAGAGGAGCTTGTATGTAATATGTATGACTGTTCATGTGCACTAAAACTAGAATGCCAATAATACTGACAATTAATAGTGAAAGAAGCACTTTGCCTTTCTCCATCTGTCCTTTAGTTGCTGTGGAGTAAAGCAAAGAAATGTCAAAATCCAAAATACTTAATTGATAAAGCGATGGTATTTGTTGAAAGATATTTGTTAAAGGGGTCATAGGATGCCCATTTTCCACAAGTTGATATGATTCTTTAGAGTCTTAATGAAAAGTCTGTAACAGTTTGGTTAAAATTACTCAATGGTAGTGTAAAAAACACCTTTTTACCCTGTCAAAAACAGCTCTTTTCAAAGCATGCAGATTTGTAGCATTTTCCTTTAAATGTTAATGAGCTCTGCTGACCCCGCCCCTCTCTTCCAAGCTGCTCTCAGAGAGACTGTTTACTTTAGCTGCATTCATCGTGAAACTTGCTATTTTGCACATTATTAAGAAAGGCGATTTGTAAAGATTTGTTAAAAAAAAACCTTACACTCACTTCTTCTGTAGGTGAAGCTGGATCACGAATGATTCGCGCGAACATAGACGCATTTATGTAGATCAAACATAAAACAAACATAATCCACTGCGTCTTCAGCGGCTCAGATGTCGGGAGTAAATGAAGACTGCTATGTTCATGATTACATCCAACAACAGAAGACCTCAATCGCTTAGGAGTCATTCTTGTCTACAGCGGTGAAACAATGGCGGACTGATGACAGCTCACTCAGGGCGGGTCTAAGGTAAGACGCCAGCCCAGTCTGTGCTGAAACGCTACTATCAATCAAACTATCGTGGGAGGGGCCTGTCTATGTGACGTTACACAGACAGCATCTGAGATCGGCTCGATTTGAGAAAGGGGTAAATATTTTAGTAGATTAACAAAAAGTTCAGTTCAAACAACTTGTAAAAGTGCATGTAGCATTATATGACCCCTTTAAAACAGAACTGAACTAGTAGTATCCACTAGAGATCGACCGATATATCGATATTTTCCCCGATATTTAAGCATTTTACCATAATCGGATATCGGTTTTGTAATATCGGATTCACGATAAACGCCGCCATCTTGTGGGTGTTTTGAGAATTGCGTGCAGGATCGCCATTGCAGCGCATCTGAGGGGAGACGAGACAACAACAACGGCATGGTGCAGGTACTTGATTTGCTGTAGTTAGTAAACTTTATTTAACATAACAGCCATTTATGCACAAATTAGATGCATTACATAAATGCCTGATATGTTTATGCAGCTTGGCTCTAAGAAATAGAGACCAACTAACGGAGTCATGTAAAATAATCCGTCAAGTCCTGTCCCAAAAAAGACGTAACTTTGCCTGAATTAAATATGCAGCCATGAATGTGCACATGTTGGAAATAAAAGCACTGAATTGAATTCTCTCTGTTGTTGAGAGACTGTTTACTTTAGCTGCATTCATCGTGAAACTTGCTATTTTGCACATTATTAAGAAAGGCGATTTGTAAAGATTTGTTAAAAAAAAACCTTACACTCACTTCTTCTGTAGGTGAAGCTGGATCACGAATGATTCGCGCGAACATAGACGCATTTATGTAGATCAAACATAAAACAAACATAATCCACTGCGTCTTCAGCGGCTCAGATGTCGGGAGTAAATGAAGACTGCTATGTTCATGATTACATCCAACAACAGAAGACCTCAATCGCTTAGGAGTCATTCTTGTCTACAGCGGTGAAACAATGGCGGACTGATGACAGCTCACTCAGGGCGGGTCTAAGGTAAGACGCCAGTCCAGTCTGTGCTGAAACGCTACTATCAATCAAACTAT